GGGGGGGGGGTGTATATAAAGAGACAAAGAGAAACAGGGGCAGGGTGAAGCCAGAAGAAGGACACAGCAAAGAATTTCTTGAATGTGCATATTATTTTTGGCCTTTTATTAACTTTTGTCAGTGACTGATCGCCCCCTACTACACGGGGCGCTTTGGCAACCCCTCAGTATGTAAATCTTCACTAGAACAGACTCCTCTGAACTTTGCTCTACGGACACCACAGTGGTCAGGTCACCGAGGATGACAAGGCTGTCTTACACACAGTAGGACGCGTAATAAGCAGCTTTTATCTCTCTGAGTGAGTGTGGACCAGGAGCGTGGAAAAGGACCTCCGATGACTGACAAGATAACGAGCACAGTCAGGACAGGGCACGTGAGACAGAGTCACGTGACCGTTTCCTCCGCTTTCAGGCAAGGTTTACAAACCTTTACATTTGTAAAAATTTCTCTGTAAGAGAAACAGTTTTTAAAAAACCAAGGATTCAACTCCATTTTACCCATCATGTTTTTTACAATGTTTGAACCAAAGTCACAAACAATGGAACAAAAAATTTCTATAAAAAGGCAGTTCTGCATTTCCTACTGTGCAGCCAAACGCTCACTGGAGCACAACGCCAGAGAAACAGAGGCAAACTTCGTCCACACAGTTCCTCCCTGGCACTCGGCTCAGACGGCAGTCACGTCTGGTAAGAACCATAAGCAGGTGCTTATAATCGTGAAATGAGACGTATCTGGATCTCAGAGAACACGCGACCATCTCTCGGCCTGGACACCCCCCCCTCGCCTCTTCTCTTCAACCCATCACTGCCATCAGCATTGCTGGACGTCAGCCAACCCCTCTCCATCTCAGGTCCCTCAGCTGGTCCCCACAGCCATCAGAAGCCGGTTCCCACAGCACAACACACGTCCAAACCTCTGAACAACCCTGACTGGTTTCCTTTCTCATGAGCACTACCTCAGCCACATAAATAGAAGGGCTGAATAAAAAAGGACTTGCTAGCACTCAATACATTATAATAAATCCTTATATTTGGAAAAGTAACTCTTACGCTTCTAAGCTGGTATCAGGCCCATTTCTCTGTTTGCTACATTTGTCATGAGTCTGCTATACTCCAGCACTATGACAGGTGACAGAGAATCAAGAACGAATAAAACACATGCCTTGTCCCAAGAAAATATCAGCCTGGTAAAGAAATAATACAGTGAGATAAATATTACAGGAAAAGAAAAGAACTATTTAACAAAAAGACCAGAGTAACTTAAGAGAAAGCAAGGCTAGAGTAACTAAAGAAAAAATACTATACAGTTGACCCTTGAATAACACGGGCTTGAACTGCTCAGGTTCACTTACATGCAGATTTTTTTTCAATAAATGCATTCTGTACTTTAAATGAATTTTCTCTAGCTTACTTTATTGCAAGGATATAGTATAATGTAACATGTACAATATGTGTTAATCGGCTGTTTATGTTATCAGTAAGGCTACTGGTCAACAGTAGACTGTTTATAGTTACGTTTTGGGGGAGTCAAAAGTTATACAAGGATTTTCAACTGTGTAGGGGGTTGGTGCCCGTAACCCCCACACTGTTCAAGGGTCAACTGTATATATAAATTGTACAGTGCATAGAAACAGAAATAATGTTAACAAGCACAGAAAAAGAGAGCAACTTAACATACTATAAATAATATAAAATTCATGAATGAAAAAGTCTAACCTTATCAATTAGAGAATCAAGTCTGCTGTAACATCCTGACAACTCATCAGCGTACGAGTCAGGGCTGACCTCTTTTTTCACCTAAAGCAGAGTAGAGAAAGATTTTATCTCTTTATAGTTCACTGTAAAAATAGTCTATTGTTAATGAAGACTAAAATTTTAATTTCATCATTTTATAACTTTTGTTATATTTTTCAACTGTACTGAACCACCAAAAAAGTAAGTCTCAAATGTATATACCAGCTAAGAACTAAAATCAAGTTAGTTTGCCACCTGATGGGCTTCACGTTCAAATTCAAAACAGAAATAACCAGGTGGGGTTGAAATAATCTTGGACTAAGAGTGTCATGAAAGATTCTGTATGACTACTAATCACTGATACATGACTCTCAGCTGAGTGAACACCAACAAAAGCAGATTATTTTCATCAAAGGACTGACAAGGTGTGACACACACATACCTGAGTTCTCCTCATTGTTCCTGAAGCAGCATCGTAGTTGAGCATGTCTGTGGGGTCAATCCAGTCATCATCATGAGCATTACCAGCTATCAGCCATAGGCATTCGCAAAGCAGCAGAGAACACAACAGCATCTTGCATGAAGGCTGAACACAGGGTGTTTTTTTAAAAATATATCTTTACTGATTTCAGAGAGAGGATGGGAGAGGGAGAGAGAGAGAAACATCAACGATGAGAGTCGTCATTGATTGGCTGCCTCCTGCACAGCCCCCAAATGGGGGTCGAGCCCACAACCCAGGCATGTGCCCTGACCAGGAACTGAACCACCATCTCCTGGATCCTAGGTTGATGCTCAACTGCTGAGCCACGCCCGGCCAGGCTACAATTTTTAATACATATAATGAAATATAATTATTTTAGAAGAAATTGTAATAACTATCTACTTCCTAAGTAGTGCTAAGATAATGCTTTTTTTCTGAACTGAAAACAGTAAAATGGCATTCACAAGTAAATATACACACACACATTCTCACTGAAACAAAAATAGAGATTTTCCATATGATTCAGCAATCTCATTCCTAGGTGTGCACCCAGAAGAAATGAAAATATATGTCCACACAAAAACTTGTACACAACTGTTTTCAGCCACATTATTCACAACAGCCACAAAGCAGAAACAAAATGTCCATCAACTGACCAAAGGACAAATCAAATGTGGTAAATCTAGACAATGGAATATTATTAGGCCATAAAAAGGAATGGATATTTTTTTAGGAATGAAGTATTTACTGATACATGCCGTCATATGGATGAAACTGTGAAAGAAGCCAGACACCATAAACCATGTATTAATTATCTGAAATGTCCAGAATAGGCAAATCTACTGCGACAGAAAGATTAGTAGGTACTTAGGGCTGGGCATGTAACAAGGGACAAGAGGGTGGGAGTGAAACGGTATAGGGTTTCCTTTTGAGGTGATTAAAAATGATCTAAAATTATGGTGATGGATGCATATATGTGTGAACATACTAAAAACCACTGAATTGTAAACTTAGAAGCCACACTGAGACTGGTAGGAGGGACAGGGACACAGAATGGGTCAGTCCCACAAGCATGGTGTGGCAATTAAGAAACTGGAGAAATATCTTGGTTGCAAGGTCCCCCTGAGGAGTGAGGAGTCACACCTGGCTCCCTCTACCGGGGCGCCATTGCCGGGAAGCGAAGACCCCACAACACCTGGCTGTAATAACCAGTGGGGATTGCATCTGAGAAAGACAAGCAGCTACTGGAGGCCTAGATATTCCTCTTGAGGGGCCTGGCACAAACTTTTTTTTACATTCAATATTATGATGATTCATTTCAGGTATACAGCATAGTGGCAAGACAATTATACACCCTGGTATTTCCAGTACCCACCTGGCACCATACGCAGTTATTACAATATTATTGACTATATTCCCTATACTGTAATACCTTTTGTTAAATGGCCCCAAACTCCGTACAAGCAGCAACCAGTCTCAATTTGCACTGTAACTGCCATTAGGTAGCCCCAAGCCTGGCCTAAGCTGTAGCTAGTGTTGGCCTGGAACATAACTTCAACTAAGTGGCCACAGACCTGGCAAAAGTGGGAGATGGCCTCAGCAAACACTGTAATGCCAACCAAATGGTCCCAAGCCTCGGTCTGCAGCATAGCCTCTCACCAGCGCCACCCAAGCGCCATCCAAGCCCAGCACAAGTGGTAGCCATGCAGAGATCACTCTGTAGCTCCCATTAGGCAGCCCCAGGCCAGGCACAAGTGATGGCTGACCTTGGCCTGCACCAGAGCCCCTCCCAAGAGCCTCCAAAACCCACACACCCAGTGGCCTGCTTCAGACCACACTCGCTCTAAAAAAGACACCCCCAAAGGGCGAACTCAGTGTTTCTCTCCCCCACCCCTCTCTCTGAAAAGCAATGGAAAAAATATCCTCCAGTGAGGATAAAAAAAAAAAAAAAAGACTCTAATTGAGTCTGAGGTGGGCCTGAGATCCTGCATTTCCAAAAAGCTCCTAGAGAAGGCAGAGATGCTGGCCCACAGACCACACTCTGAGAAGTGTTAGGACAAGTAAGCAACCATCATGTATTCGTTTAGCTTAATGGTGGCACCTGTGATTCTACTGCTTGTTTGTGTTAGTAATGGTCTCTCTCCCCCAGTTCCTATTTTTTATCATTTTTTCATCCACATTGTAATATAAATAATAATAGTAGCTAATCTTTGACAGGCCAAACCCTGCTACATGCATCCATTCATTTAATGCTCACAAAAACTCTTGGCGGTCATACTGTTGGTATCTTCATTTTATAGATTAGGAACACAAGTAAGGTGCCCAAGACTACTCAGCTAGTAAGTGACAGAACCCAGGCTGGCTCTACCTAAACTGCCCCTCCAGGGGCAAGATGCAAGTGGCCTTGGGCTATCCAGAGAGGGTGGAGGGAAGACACTGCTGGATTCAAATGTCTACACAGTGGGAAACAGAGAGGGGCTTGGGACCTGAGCTACTAGACTGAAGAGCTACCAAGACAGACAGAGATCTCCAAGGAGACTGCCAGCTACTCAGTGGAAACAGATACACCTGGACGTAAGGAAAACAAAAGATCCAATTAGAGGACCCACAGATGGCCAAGAGACATAAGAAAACATGCTCAATGTCACTAATCGTCAGAGAGATGCAAATTAAAACCACAATGAGGTACCACCTCACACCCGCCAGAATGGCTCCATCAACAAATCAACAAACAAGTGCTGGCGAAGGTGTGGAGAAAGAGGAACCTTGGCACACTGCTGGTGGGAATGCAGACCCGTGCAGCCACTATGGAAAACTGTGCGGAGTTTCCACAAAAAACAAAAAATGGAACTGTGACCCAGTGATCCCACTTCTAGGAATATATCCTAAGAATCCTGAAACATCAATCAGGAAGAATATACGCATCCCTATGTTCACAGCAGCGCAGTTTACAATAGCTGAGATCTGGAAACAGCCCAAGTGCCCATCAGCAGGTGATGGATAAAAGCTGTGGGACATTTATCCCGTGGAATACTACGCAGCTGTGAAGAAGGACCCCCTACCCTGTGGGACAGCATGGAGGGAACTAGAAGGTATTATGCTCAGTGAAATAAGCCAGGCAGAGAAAGGCAAACATCACAGGATCTCACTCATATGTGGAATCTAATGAACAAAATAAACTTACAGAAACTAAATAGATCCAGAGGCCTGGAGGCCTGGAACACACCGACAAATCTCGGGGGGAGATTCACCCCATCGCCCCCCGTCCTACAGAGAACCTGGCTGGTTTTCACCACCCGCTCAAACACGCGCCTAACTCTCTACATTCAAATTAGATTTGGAGTTTTTCTAAATTAACCACCCCCTAACCCCGGCTCTTCTGCGAACGGTATCTGTTCAAACGACGCGTCAAGTTTTCAGAGAAAACTCAAACCAACAAAGTTCAACGTTCGTCGGGTCGGCTTTCGCTTTCGCTCTCGCGCTCGCTCGCGCCGCTTCCCCAGGCCGCTCTTCGAGCCGGGAAAGGCCGCAGCGACCGCGCAGCAACCGGCGACCCGGCGGCCGCTGGCC